GGCCATCAAGCGCAAGTCGCGTACGACACCGAGGGCGGGTGGATCCGTGCTGGCAGCAGGCAAGATCTCGGGTGCAGCTTCATTGATATACGTCGGGTCGTGCACGAGGAGTACGTCCTGTGCCGACGGCTCGAGCACTGCGGCGGCGACGGCGGCAAGACCACCCAAGAGCGCAACGAACCCTCGCATGCTGCAAATTGAAAAGTGAGCACCGCGTTTGGTTGTCAAGCGTGGTCCACCTTACAATCCTGCCAATGACACGGCGTGACACGCGCCCGCGATGTACAGCACGCGAATTTCGCAGCAGCAAGTGACGTACTCGTACGAGTAGCGACCTCTCTTCGTCAGCTCATACGACGGGTATCTGAGCGTCCAGGCAAGCGGTCGCTCGCGCTCGGATGCTGCCCGGCGCAGTCGAGCTCACAACCACGGCAACGACAGACTGGCAACGACGCGGTCATGTCCTCACAGACTATCCTGCGTGTCGCAAGACGACCCTGCACCCATGGCTGCTTAGCAGTGGCTACTCTTCAAAGTCTATTATACGACCGGTCGGAACTAGGAATCTTGAGGCTTGCAGCTCGTGGTCGCAGCAGCAAAGCTACAGCTTTGCGCATCCATGCGAGCCCACCGCAGCGAGGCCTTCTCGCCTGCGAGTCGGTCGTGACGACAACTTCATCGTGTTACGACCGTATGGCAATGTGCACTGGCTCGTGTCCTCGGTACTTCAAGAACCATGACCGTGTTACTTCAAGAAACGACGTGCGGATGGCGCATCGACGACGACGACAATGCAAACACTGCCAACGAAACCCAATGGCTGAGAGCACACCGGGGAAGACGTCTTCGATTTAAGAGGGAGACGCAGTTACATCTAGCCTGGTTCATGCAACGACGAAGGGATGCAACTGGGATTGGAGCCTACGGTCTCGGTCGCGGAAATTGCTGAATGTCAGCATTTCCTTCGGCTTGGTTTGTGTTGGAGACAGCATGGTCATCGAAAGCGAATCGACCACAAGGATAGGTACTTGCAGTGACTAGTGGTTTAGAAATTTGTGCTTGTCTAACAGCTAATTGTGTCCTCTTCCCACGTTCGATTGTTGGATTTTGTGATTTCGATTTGCGACCCGTTGGTACAACCTTGATATTGCTCACAGCCGCCTTTCTCTGCGTGTGGGGTTGAGATTTGTTGTCCGTAGCCATTGCTACGTATTCACGCTCAGCTCCATCGCCGAGGAGCTCCAATCCGTCCTCTGCAAGTACACAGTGCGCCTTCACGAGCTATGACTCAACGGAGCCCGTACTACACTGCTTTGAAGCGCAGTCAAACCGTCCAGCTTGCATATATATGAACGTGTTTCGCGTTATCTTCATAATTACACAAAGACTTCGCATACGTAGAGACTAGCAATCTCCTTCTTCTTCATTCGCTCGCCGGTCCGTGGCTGCGCAGGCGGCGGCGCGGGGGCTCGTCTGGCTCTTCTGTCTTGCATATTTGGGTTAAATGCGCACATACGTTTCCCTGACCTGGAGTTATAACGTCACCATCACCAAGGCAGCGTAGGCGAGGCTGCCACGCTCCGTGCCTTGACCGACAAGTTGTCTAGCCACTCCTTCCGTAAGAATTGACCATGTATTTTATGTAGTTGCGTGGCGAAATCGTTGCACTTGGAGTTTCAACCAAACTGAACCAAACCAAACTCTCTCGACAGATTATTTGATACAGGCTTGATACTCGCCTTGACACTTACTTTCCTTGGCGATTGTGTTTGCTGTGCCTTCTTCGTTCACTCGTATTCTACCAAGGCACAGATGCCACGCTTGCACCGTGCTCTCAGCACCCGCGTCCCAGCTCCGAGTCCCTGACCAGGGCCTGAATCGGTCTTTCAACCAATCCTGTGCAATAAGTATTCGGTGGGCCAATCCGAATCGCGCCGAGACAGAAAATCACGGATTGGCTAAAATAGCATCTATTCCTCGCGTCTCCGCCAATTGGAGGTAGCGCCAGCCGCCATGCTCCACGACGACGAGGACCCGTCGACGCTCTGCGATGTCTTTGCGCAGGTCGCCGCTGACGTGGCAGCCGCCATGGCCTCGCCCATCCAGGCTCATGGCTCCAACTAGATGCTCCAAGTGAACGAAGACATGATCGCGGCGATCGCCGAGCACCAGAACTGGAGCGACCCGAACGCGTACCGGTCGCTCGAGACTGCCCACGCGTACCAACGCATCTTGCACAAGAACCTCATCGAAATGGCCAACTTTGTCGACTCGCTTTGCGGCGTCTTTGTCGACGTGGTGCGTGTACGCGCACCTCACTCGTGTGTTATGGGCGAATAGGACCACGGCAAGGCGACGCCACTGCAAGCGCTGCCCAACGACGTCGTGCTCCTCAAGAAGCGCAAGCCATCGCCGCCATGCAGCGAGGCGACACCGCTGTCCGAGCCGAGCGCGCTATTGGCGACGATCCAAGCGACCGAGCACTTTCGAGCGCGCCGCCGCACCGAGAAGGAGTTTGTCTCCTCCCAAATGCGCATTCGCGAACAGGAAGCCGCAAAACCACCGCTCGCACCGGACGCACTTCCGCTGCCAAAGACGCCGTCGATGCTGCGCCCGTCGCCGCTGCCGTTGCCGGCGCCAATGCCAGCGCCCATCTCCAAGAACCGCGCCGTGGCAGCCAAGGAAGAGTGTCTCGACTGTCATCGTCTCGGCAAGTCGGTCACCGACTGCCGCGCCTTGTACAAGCACACGGCGCTGTCGTGGAAGACTGTGCCGGTGCTGCCGCCGGCCATGTACCCGCCCTTTGGAGGTAGCTCGAGCCAATCAGCAGGATACCGGAAATGACGCGGCCCGTAGGCATGGTGCCCATGTACCCGCCACCGCCGCTGTACGCGCCGTCATTTCTGCCGCTGCGCCCTCCGATGCTCGCACCACCCGCTCTCATTGCTGTCGCTGCCAAGGCGGCGCCCCGCCCGCTCAAACGTACCATATCTCTTCGTCATCAAGAGCTTGGATCAAGCTTGTGTAGGTATGTGTGAAAAGTGCAGAGCCGAGCACCAAAGCGTGTACCAATGCCGGACGACGCTGGGGCACACGGCGCCCGAGTGGAAGCGCGCCACCAAGCCGACACCGCCGGTACGAAGCTTGCACGAACGCGACTGATCCGCGATTAGGAGACCGGCGCGCGGTCGTACTCGCGCTGGAATGAAAATGAGATGCAGACGTTCCAGGACCTCGTCGAGGTCCACGGCTACACGGGTGCGACGCCGCGACAGAGGCTCGGGCTCATGCAATCGGTTAGATCCTGTGCACATGGCGCCCTTTATACCGACCAAGGACGTCAAGCAGATCAAGAGTTATTTACAGGTACGGACGACGACGCTATCGAGAAGGCAGAGCGATGTGCACTGGCAATTGGCGTAGCGCTATAACAAGCAGCGAAGTGCTGACGACCGGCGCTGTGCACTCCGCGACAGCTAACACTTGACGGCAAGAAAATGAATTTTAATATGAAGGACACGGCGGGAATTGAAGCCGCCGGCTGCGGAGCGTCGTTGGCGCGTGGGCAAAGCCACTGCCATGTCCCTTGGCGCCTCCTCGCCCACGACGCACAACACTTTGTACATCGATTGGGACAAAAAGGGGTCCATCGCCCGCGTAATTCCCATAGATAGTACATACGCAGGATGATAGGGCGCGGAATCGCGCACGGCAGCTGCGCCATTGAATCGCAAAGCAAGAGCGTCTACAAGAGTGCACTCGTGATGTACTAGGAGGCGCATCACCTTGGTAGCATCGATGCGAGGGCTGGTGCGGTCCTTGCATCAGTCCGATGAGCGATATTAGTCGCGGCGACTCGAGCTCTCTAGCACGACCGCGCAAGTGCTCATAGCGCCTTACATACAGGCTCAAGGGCCTTGTATACATTAAACAAGGGAAGCAACACGGCTCGTACTCGCTTGCAGTTTTGCGTGCCTCCAAGCGTATCGGTGAGAGCTTGGGAGACCGTTTTGGCGCTGGGTGGGGTGTCCGGATATGCAAGTGTACTCATGTGTGCGAATCGCAAGGCTTGCCGGCGCCGCACCTTCCCGGATGCGGTATCCGGATATACGTATTAATTCGTAGAGGTTGTCGCGGATCTTGCACTGGTGGGCCTCGGTTTGTATGGCGATTTGTATGCTAAAAATACCTGTGAGAGTTTATGCTTGACTTCCTTGTCGTGGGGCCCTCAAAAGTAGTTTTTGACTGCCGCCCGGAAGAGCGTCAAGATGAGCAGCCACCATGGAAAGTCGGTCGACCTGCAGATGTTCGAGACGCATGCCAAGGCCGTCGTCCGCGACTACTACGTCGAGCCCCGCATCGGTGCGTCATGCTGCGCGCGCTGCGTCGACTCATGCCAAGCACGTAGACTACCGCACCATCTCGGGCGTGAACGGTCCGCTCGTCATTCTCGAGAACGTCAAGGTACCTCGCCTAGTATGGCCATGGCCTTGCTGAGCCGTCTCGAGTAGCTGCCCAAGTTTGCCGAAATCGTCAACTTGACCTTGTCGACGGGCGAAGTGCGGTAGGTCGCCATTGGCATTGGTGCAAGAGGCTCATGATGCATTTGTAGCCAAGGCAAGGTGCTCGAAGTGCAGGGCAGCAAGGCTGTCGTGCAGGTCTTTGAGGGCACGGATGGCATTGACAACCGTCACACGCACTGCGAGTTTACGGGCGATGTGCTCAAGATGGCCATCTCGGAGGAGATGCTCGGCCGCGCCTTTAACGGCTCGGGCAAGGCCATTGACGGCGCGCCGCCGGTCGTCGCCGAGGACTACCTCGACATTGAGGGCCAGCCCATCAACCCGTCGTGCCGTGACTACCCCAAGGAGATGATCCAGACGGGTATTTCGGCCATCGATGTCATGAACTCGATCGCGCGTGGCCAAAAGATCCCGCTCTTCTCGGCCGCTGGTTTGCCCCACAACGAAGTACGCCCATCCATCTCCATCATCCGTTGCTCACTCAATACGCGCTGTAGATTGCCGCCCAAATTTGTCGTCAGGCCGGTCTCGTGCAGCGCAAGGACGTCATGGACTCGCACCAGGACAACTTTGCCATCGTCTTCGGTGCCATGGGTGTCAACATGGAAGCCGCGCGCTTCTTCCGCAACGATTTCGAGGAGAGCGGCTGCATGCAGAACACGGCGCTCTTCATGAACTTGGCCAACGACCCGACGATCGAGCGTATCATTACGCCGCGTCTCGCGTTGACGACCGCCGAGTACCTCGCGTACGAACGCGACTTGCACGTGCTCGTCATCCTCACCGACATGTCGTCGTACGCCGACGCGCTGCGCGAGGTGTCGGCCGCCCGCGAAGAAGTGCCCGGTCGCCGTGGGTACCCCGGGTACATGTACACGGATCTGTCGACCATCTACGAGCGTGCCGGTCGTGTCATGGGCCGCAACGGTTCGATCACGCAGCTCCCGATTCTGACGATGCCCAACGACGACATCACGCACCCGATCCCGGATCTCACGGGCTACATCACGGAGGGCCAGATCTACGTCGATCGCCAGCTGCACAACCGTCAGATCTTCCCGCCGATCAACGTGCTTCCGTCGCTCTCGCGCCTCATGAAGTCCGCCATTGGCGAAGGCATGACGCGCGACGACCACTCGGCCGTCTCCAACCAACTCGTACGTTGTCCTGTCGTTGCTTTTGCCAAGTTGACGATGTATGCTTAGTATGCGAGTTATGCGACGGGCAAGGACGTGCAGGCGATGAAGGCGGTCGTCGGTGAGGAAGCGCTCTCGATGGAAGATCACTTATACCTCAAGTTCACCGACAAGTTTGAGGGCAAGTTCATCGCCCAGGGCCCGTACCAGTCGCGTGACATTTTCGAGTCGCTCGACCTCGCGTGGTCCCTCTTCCGCGCCTTCCCCAAGGAGCTCCTTAAGAAGATCCCCAAGAAGCAGCTCGACCTGTACTACGCCCGCCGGACGCAGGTCCGCGAAGGCTTGGGCCACGAAGAGATGAACGCCCAGGAGTAAGCGCTGCCGCAGGATGAGCATGCACACAAAACGTCGTTGAACGACTTGATATACACTTGCAACTGTACACGCGTCGTTCTATTGTCTGCGCAAGTGCACGCTTGGTGGTTGCTAAGCTTAGTGGAGACGGAGGGACAAGGACCGTCAAGTCGACAGTCGGCAAGGGTTGACCACCCCAGTGACGGAAGTTCCGCCAAAGGGAACATGTATTGGCTCGTACTTGGCAACGAATCTCAATCTCAACCTCAAAAATGCAGCAACCCATTCAGTCCTTGACGTGAGAACCGAGTGCATGAGGTTGAGGTCACGGGATTGCCGCTGCGCGGTGGCGTATTTTTAGCCAATGGCCTGCGCCAAGACGACCATTGGACCAATCAAAAACGCCAATACGATACATTTCGCACCAATCAAATGCGAGGAAGACGCCAAAACCATCGAAAATCGAATCTTTGCTGGTAGAAAGGACGGCCATCAACTCTTGCTTGCGCCATGTCGGACGTACGACGTGCATGGGACGCTGCGGTGGACGCTGGCGACGTGCGCGCGATGCGAGCGCTCCTAAGCCCCGATGCTATGGGCGACACGGGTGCCCACGTCGCTTGCGTTCGATCCCTCCGCACCACTGGCAAGACCGACGTCGACCGGTCGTCGTTGGTGCACGCGCCTATGGCCTCGGTAGTATCGGCACCCGCGTGCACGGCGCTGCACGTCGCCATGCGCAAGGGCTACACCGACGCGATCGCGCTCCTTTTACAGGCCGGCGCCGATCCCAACGTCCTCGACATCGTACGTCCTCATCTTCACGGCAGAGTCGCAGGATGCTGCGAGTAGAATGCGTCGACGCCCTTGTACATGGGCGCGGCCAACCCCCGCCGGTATGCAGAGCTCCAGCTGCTCTTGGAATATAGCGCCAACGTGCATTTGCTCCAGGTACCCGCTTCGATCCCCACCTTGCGCGCCCACAAACTACGGTGAATATATGCGTAGAACGGCGAGACAGTGCTCCACCGCGCGACCAAAGCCGGCCATGCAACGCTCGTGGAGCTCTTCTTGCAGTTTGGCAGCTGCCCCAACATGCTTAACAAGGCGAGTCCATGACACCGACGTATCATGCATCATCTGAGAAGATGCGTAGGCGTGGGAGACACCGTTGCACGTCGCTGCGCGCAAGCAAGAGCACGGCATTGTCGCGCTTCTCTTACAGTACGGCGCCAACGCCAACGTCTTTGACAATGTATGCGTCATGGCCCTCAAGGGCTACCTCAATGTGTCAACGCTACTTCACATAGACGGGCACCCCGCTGCTGTTGCAAGCCATTGCCAACGGCAACGACGTGTTGGCCCGACTCCTTCTCGATGGCGGCGCCGACTGCAACCTTCGGGATGCGGTGCGTGGATGATTCTCGAATCGTATTGACGCGGCGCATGTAGCGGGGACACACGAGCATGCACGCGGCGGTGGCATCGTCCCAGCACCTCCTTGTGCGCAAGATGCTGCAGCACCACGACGGCGATGTCAACCTCCGCGACAAGCGATCCATCGGTGTCTCCAGCGTACGCCCACCTCTCTCCTTGACATTGGAATGATGGCGTTCACGCTATGGTCGGCGTAGCTCGAGCTCGCACTGCAGCGACACGACACGGCGATGGTCCACATCCTGTTGGCCAGCGACACTGTCTCCACCGAGGTAACGCTCTTTCTTGCACTAGCACCAAAGAACGTAGTGGAGTAGACGCGCCTTCGGTCGCTACGCGTGGCCATCGAGCTGCACAGCGTAGTCCTCGCCCGGCTCGTCATTGCCAACCACGCCCGCCTTTGCAACGAGGTCTTGAGAGCCCACGCACCAAGTCTTTGAAGTTGATCAACAAAGCATAGGCAGGACACACAGCGCTGCATGTAGCTGCGCTCTGTGGCGGCGACGTGGCCATGGCGACGATGCTACGAGAGATGGGCGTCCCCCTCAACACCCCGGACAAGGTAGACGGGGATCCTCGCACATGTGAAGCCAAGAACCCTAGATGGGGTGTACGCCGCTGGCGTACGTGGCCCAGCGACGTCACGTGTCGCTCTTCAAGCACCTGGCCGCGACCGGCGCCGTCATTGTGACGTGGCCTCTCGTTGCCCAAGACAAGGTTCGACGCCTGTGGGACGACGTATTCTTATTTTGTTTTTGGTATGTAGTACCGTACTTCGCTCTGGCCGTGGCTATTAGAGTGCTCCCGCCACAGCCTGGCCAGCCTCCTCGATGCGGTTGCCCCGCTGCTTGCGGTAGGTCGCGTGTGTTGGAATGGTTGAAGGGGACGGAATGTGAACGATTGCGTAGACCACGGCTTTGGTCCGTGTCCTTGCGGTGCTCTTGGACAATGCCTTTACAAGTGCGGGTCTTGCCGTCGTGGAGCTGTGTTTGCATTCGGCCTTGTCGCGGCGGCGGGAGGTAGATCGCTGGCCACCGTCGATAGCCACTGACGTACACGTGTAGATTGTGGACGCCATGTACACCTGGGCGGTCGCACAGCGCCGTGGGTACCTCGTCAAGTGCTTTGCGGATCTACGGACATTCTAGCTCTTGAGATTGCGTTTTGAGATTGCGTTTTGAGTTTTGAGTTTCGATAATAGATGATTGGTGGGCCAAGGCTGTATATGCTAGCACTGTTGGCACTGTCATGTTCTCCACAAACCCGAAAATGACAGACAAAACTGGACATACAAAAATGTCAAAGATTCGCGCGGAGCAAAAATAATGGCGATCTGCCGACACGCCTTCTGATTGGCTGCAATGAGCTGGCTGGTTTCAACGTTCACAATCCCACACGCCAGACCAAGCAGGATGCTGCTCGACCTCGGCCCGGATGTGCTCGAGGTCGTCGCCGAGTACATGGACGTTCGGTCCGTGCTGCAGCTGGCGGCCACAACGCGCCTTCTGCATACCGCCGTCGCCGCGTCGACGGTGCTCTGGGAGGCGCTGTGCGTCCGGGACTTTCGCATTGCGCCACAGGCGTTCCCGCGGGCAACGGCCCAGTGGGCCACGCTGTACCGGCGCATGCACGCGCCCATCGTGCTGACGTGGGGCGTCGGCAGTAACGGTCGACTAGGCCCCGGCGGCGGCCACACGACCGTCGATCGTCCCCGCGCCATCGACACGTCGGGCCTCGGCAAGGTCGCCCGCATTACGTGCTCGGGCTTTGGCATGCACGCGCTCACGCAAGACGGTTGCATCTGGTTCTGGGGCTCGTTCAACGGCTATGGATCGCATGATCGGCTTCGTGTGCCCGTGGACGAGCCGTGTCGGAGCCTCAGCAGCGGGCGCACGCACGGATGCGCGCTGGGCGACAGCGGCGCCGCCTACGCCTGGACCGAGTCGCGCCAGGTGTCGGTTGTGCAATGCAACTCGGCGACCGATGCGCCCGTCGTCGACGTCGTTGCGGGCTGGAGCCACGTCGCCGTGCTCTTTGCGAACGGTGCTGTCAAGACGAGACACGTGAACGACCTCGGTACCATGGCCTTGCAAGCCGCGGAGCAGCTGCCGCTCGACGACGACCGGGCCGTGCAAGTCGTCGCCGGCGCCGACTTTACTGCAGTCGTCACCGACGCCGGGCATGTGTTCCTCTGGCGCCAGAGCCCAATGCACCTGGAGCGGCTCAACGACGACAGTGGCCGCCCCATCGTTGCAACGCATGCCACGGCGTGCTACCAGACTCTCTCGATCTTCAACAGTCGTACCAACTCGGTTCGGTCGTATGTCGTCACCAGCACCGATCTCAAGGACGTGACGCCGGCGACGCTGGCCAGCCTCGGCGTGTGCAAGGTGACGCACGGCGACTGGCACTCGGGCGTGCTCACGAGCACGGGGCACGTCTGGACGTGGGGCAACGGCTCGGCTGCCCTCGGCACCGGCAACCACGGCAGCCGCGGAGTGCCCACACCGACGCAAGTGACGATCGGTCTCGAGAACCTCTTTGTGTTTGACATTGGCTTTGGCGGGTGGCACTCGGCGGCGCTGGCCGTCGCCTTGTGACATTGGCTATTCGTACTTTTGAAGGACATTGTGTGCAAACAGATATACCGTTTATCGATACGTCACCGCTGTTGGTCATTGCGTCCTCTCCCAGGATACCGCCGTTTCAACGTAGAGCTCGACCTGCGGTGCAATATGTGCTCGCTTCGATGCGGTCGTTGGGCGACCATCGCCATCCCTCTTGCCTTAGTCTTAACTGGGCACCGAGCTCATGGATCAACGACGAAGCAGGTGGTAAGCTCGACGCAACCGGCACTGCCTCGGCCTCGGCTTTGGTGGGGCGCTACGACTCGCAGTCACCCGTACACCGCATGCGAATCACCGCCTGTACACCTCGACAACATGCCCGTCGCATGTCCCAGCCCATGGTGTCGGTGTAGATGGGCTTGAATGCCGTTGACGCTGCCGTGGATACCGTCGGCACCACGCCGCTCATGGCAGCCGCCAGTAGCGGTGACATAGAGACGTGTCGTGCACTCCTGCGCGCCGGGGCGAGCGTCGACGCTACCGACACCGTACAGGACCCTATCAGTTCGTATTCGGGCTCAATCCGTGGCGTAGGAGGGATCGACGGCCTTGCTCATTGCTGCGTACTGCCGACACGTTGACGTCGTCGATGTGCTCTTGGCCGCAGGCGCCGACGCCAGCGCGGCCCGATCGGTATGCATAACTTCTCAACCAGCATGGACACCACGTGTCTAGTCGGACGAGCTCACGGCCTTGCATGTCGCAACTCGATTCGGTGACGTGGCGCTCTTACAACTACTCGCATCGGCGGCGCGCGCTGTGCCATCGGACGCTCGTCTTCTGCAGTTGGCTGCCTTTCACGGCCACCTCCATGCCACGGCCTTTTGGCTCGGCGCCGACGCCGTGGACGTTGCTCAGGTCGGACCTTCTGCCTGCTCGATAGTGTGATTGCATATTGTATGTTCTTTATAGGAAGGACCGCTGGCGCTCTTCTCGGCCGCCGCCAACGGCCACGAGCCCGTCGTCGCATTGCTGCTCGAGCATGGAGTCGATGCCGATGCGATCGAGGTAGTCCTCCACGCAGACGCTGTGTTATCGTGTGTTGGGTAGGAACATGGTTGGACGCCTTGCTTGGCCGCCGCCGCGAGCGGTCACGAAGCCGTCGTTCAGCGTCTAATCGACGCCGGCGCTTCTTTGGAGCACATCGACCACGTAGTACCGAAACAAAGAGGACGACGATGGAGCGAGACATTAGGCTGGCAACACGATCGTGCACGTTCTGGCCGAGCACAACCGCCCAGAGCTGCTGCAGTCGCTCTGGCCACGCCTCGAGGCGCGTATGCCCGGTGCGCTAGCTGCCGTCAACCACGTACGTCCCGACCGCCATGACACGAGGATGACGTTGCGCCGCAGCGGGGGTATACGCCTCTACTGGAAGCTGTAGCGTGCAACCACATGCACATGGTGGACGTGCTCGTTGCGGTCGGCAGCTCGTTCGACGCGCTTGTGCCGCAGGTCGGTCGCCGCTTCAAAATTTGGTGAAGAAAATTTGAAACCAGGGCGGCTGGACGTGGTTGCACGTGGCAGCCCGGCACGGCCATGTCGAGTTGATCGAGCACATGGTGCGAGAGCATGCGACGGCATCGCTCGTCGATCCACGCAAGGACACCTCGGTACGCACCTCGCTCGCTCCATATGCTTGCTGTGGTTTCACTGGCGCGTATCAGTTTTTATGGGGCGGGTCGGCGCTGCACGTGGCTCGTATGCACGGCCAGGTAGGCGCTGTCGCGGCCTTGCTCCGCCTACTGGCGACGCAGCACAGTAGACTACAGAATGACGACGGTACCAAAGTACTCGACGGCTAACGACCAAACATGTGGATAACTCAAAATGGCGCGTCGGTGCAGAATTCACGGCCTGTCGGTTTTCGTTTGAACTGAAAGCGACAAAAATAAAGTTGCCGCCAACAGGCAACACCGAGCTCAACGCGAAAGCGCATGGCCACGACATGCCGATCAAACAAGTGACACCCTCGGACGCCACCCGTGGGTCCCGGCGCCAAAGCGACAACACACCGGTGGTAACGCCACCGCAGTTAGATTTATTGGGCCCCCGGTTCCGGCGGTCGTTGCCGCAAGTACTGCCGGATGACAATGTCAAATTGCCGCCCAAATTGCGCGACTGTGTCTCCAGTCGGTCGGGCGTGCGGATTTTGTCGGCGCGGGGCGGCGACACGTTTTCGTCACCACGAACGCCGCGTCTGCGCCCCCGCCGGTCGATGGTTCTTTTGAGCAAGCCGTCGGACGCGGCTCTCGCGTCCGAGACCTTGAGCGACAAGCCAGAGTCGGTGCACTCGTTGCCTCACAACATGCCCATGAGCTGTGCGCGCGTGTCCAAGTCCCGGCTCGTGACCGACGCCGAGTCGATCGAAGACGCACTCAGCCAAGCCCAAGTGGCGGTGATCAACGATTTGATGGCCATGACGGCCGTACCGTCAACGTTGTTGGCACCAATCGTGGCGCCGGTCGAGTCGGCGCCCAACAGCAGCACCGTACCCCCGAGCCCGCGCGTTGCATCGGTCAAGCCCAGCGACGCAGTGACGCCAGTGCCCGCCAAGCCCAAGCGCGTCATTGTGCGTCATTGAATGGCAGTTGAACACACAATGCTAACGGCTACTAGGCGCTGCCCAAGAGCGTGCGCAAGTTTGAACCGACGCCCAAGGCGCCAAAGACCAATCCAAACACCCCAAGTGTCAAGGGCGTCGAATGGGCGCCCGGCCAACAAGTGCTCGCTAAGGCGGCAGGAAAGCGAGACTTTGCACCAGGCACGGTGCAGAAGGCGGTCGGACCTGGGTTCTACATGATTGTCTTTGACGACGCGAGCATGGACCACAAAGTGCCCGACAGCAACATCAGGGACTATGAAGTCGTGCGCGACCACGAGCTGACGGGGGCCACGTCGAGCGATTTCAGCCTGACGCTCGAAGGTATGCTATTCGGTAGCGGTGATGTGACATTGGACGCATCGATGGTGTAGCGATGGAGGAGGACTATCGGAGCGCTCAGCGGTTTCCAGGCCTTCCCGCATGCAGCGAATCGAGCTCCGTTGGCGACGACACCCGCTTGGCGTCGTCAACGGTCCTGGACCTCAACGCGACGCTCCTTGAGGGGCTAAAAGCTCAAATTCAGCGACTCGCGCCACCAATGGTCGACAAAAGCACGATCCTTGCGTCGGATGTTGCCGTCATGTCAACGCTCGTGACGACACCGTCCCACATGTCCAACCCGGCCGACGGTAATTTAAGAATCTATATTTCACGGAATGACAGCATACTGCGTGATAACAGACGCCGACACGACGGACGTGACGATCCAAGATGTGTTCATTTTGGACATTTCCGTGCCCGCCATGCGCGCCCACCAGCTCAAGGTCCTCTACGCCCAACTCCACCGCCTCAAGACCAAACTCAACGCCGTCAACGTCGAGTACACTGGCGTGGTGGTACACTACCCCTCACCCGTCTTTGTAGGCGGCAGTCCAATGCCTCCCTCTCCGGGACACCCGTCTTGGTCTTTGGTGAGCCGTGCTACTTTGGCAAGGTGGCTACCTTGCTGCCCAACGGCCTCGCCGACGTCATCAGTCGTGTCTTGAGCGAAAATAACATTTTCAAACATATGGGTCTAGGTTTGGACGATATCAACGGACGGCAGCAGGTGCCTCTCGACGCCATTCAAGTGCTCACGCCAGCTGCGGACTTGAAGCGGCAGCACGAAGCGCTCAGTCGCCTCGCCGACCTCTTTTATCCCGGCGCGCGCATGCTCGTGGTACGACGCTTCCACTGCACTGGCTAGCTTAGAGCGATGCGCAGATGGCGCGCCGGGGGCAGCTCACGCATGCGACGATCCGGCGACGCTCGACCGAGTACGAATACGACATCAAGATTGACCGCACCAGCGAAAACATGGCGCGCGTCCGCGCGCAGCAGTTGATTCCGATCCAAGGGTACTCGGGCTTGGAGGCGCTTGTGTCGACTTATGGTGTAGTCTCTCGGTGCCGTTGCCGCAGCTGCAAAGGAAGACGCTGCAGATCAAGCACGGCGCCTTCATCTTCCGCATTCATGAATTCGTACGCGATCGTGTGCGGTATCGCTGGACGTCGGCGTTGGTAGGTATATGTGCTCGATATGGACAATGCGTCCAAGATTTACATGGCCGGTGTCATCTCGGGCATCAACAGCAACCGCACAGTGGTCATCGACTACGAAAACGGCGACATGGACGGCAGTGTCTCGGTCCAGCTGCTCGAGAAATGTATCAATCTTTCAACCTACCGACGCGTCCTCAGGGTACAATAGACGACACGCGGAAGGATCGAGGCCGAATACGACCGCCCAACTGCGGCCCCGTCGGCTACATCAACGACGATATCGTCATGGCGCTGCACCCGATGTCCAAAGCCATCGCAAAGGCCAAAATCACCTGCGTCCACGCCAGCTCGTGCGACATTTGTTTCTTAGATGGCGTCATCGTCCTCCACGTATCTATTGCAGTCGGACTATCGAGATCACCACGTGGCAACTAGATGCCTCGGAGCCGACTCAACCAGAGTTGCTTGACGGTCGCGACGATTCCACCACCGGTCGCACCGCGGTCGTACGTCGGTCATTTCAAGGCCAACCAATACGTGCTCGTCTTCAGCCACCGGTTCCAGCGCTACTGCACGGCGCAGATCCAAGCCGTCCACGCGACGGCGACGCCCGTGACGTACATGGCGGCGTTCGACTATGGCGAGGTCATTGACAAGGTACCCTTTGAAGTCATCACACACATTACCAACACCAACGGTACGCTTCGCGTCACGGCCAATATCGTCGCAGTCGATCGCATCGTTTGGTATTAGTGTTGACGCCAACCAAGCGTATTACGCACAACTGGAACAGCGTCAACGGGTAGGATGACACTGGGACGTTCTGACGTCATGACAATGACATGTGTAGGTACATGACGGACATTTTATATCCGTGCAAAAACAGCGCGAGCATCCACGATGCCGTGTGTGTCCCAAACCTCACAACCATCAAGCCGCCGTGCAATGTCGGCGACCTCGTTATGGCCCGGTACCGCGGCACGTTCAAGTACTTTTTAGCGGTCGTACTGCGCATCGACGACACCACGGTTGGCGTCTTGTATGCGTCATCAGAAGTCGAAGACGCCGTGCCGTACGACCACGTACAACCCGCTTAAGCTATCGGCAATGTTCTCCTATTCCGATCGTAGATCTTTGTCGTTGACCCGAAATACGAAAAACCGGTGGCATTTTCGATGACAGCGCCCGAAGAGGAGGCCAAGATGACGGTGATCCTACCCGAGTCGGGCGAGAAGGACAATGTACCACCGATGGCCGAGTCGATATCGATGGCCAGTCGCCTCCACGCGTCGAGCATGCAGCAAATCGCCGTCTTGCCACGCCGCTTCTCTCTCTCCAAGATCCTATCGGGGCCGATGATGGCGTCCGACTCGTCCGTGCACCGCCACCACCCGACAGGTCGTATCTCGGCGCAACCCCGTTATTTCTTTCGCGCCTTATTCCACAAGCTCAAGCGCTTCGTGTATAAGCCCAAAGAATAGACCACGCCCTTATTTATTCCTTTTTAACGGAGTTCCCTCTCTCGATGACCGTTTAACGAGGATCGACGCAGGAGCGCTTGCATGGACGGTATCTCGTATGTACTTACCGGTTGGCCTTCGTTGCGCCCTTTGACGACGACGGACTATATATGGAGGCTTGTAGATAGGAGTCATGCTGCGTAGTTCGGACGGTTTCCAACTACAAGCGACGCACCAGCAGGTCGACACTCACTGTGTCGTTTTGGCGCGCTATTAAAAGCACTGGGAAAACATGCCTGGGGCAACTGTGGCGCCAATTGGGCTGGAGCGGCGACGGCTCCCGCGCGCGGCGACCCACCGGACACCGTCGCGGAGCCCGCAACGGAGCCCTGCCAAGAGCAAAACCGATTCGCGGCGCATCGACGGCGACGGCAACTGGGGACACTCGGCGACCGTGGCGCCGCTGCGCCTGCCCGAGGTGTCCAAGCCACCGAATCCAAACGGCCACGAAATGCGGCGCAGGCCGTCGCGGCTCAACGAGACCGAGCGGCGCGGGCTGACGCGAAAAGATATCTATGACGGGCTCCGGGTCCGCGACCCGACATCGCGGTGGCAGCCCGGCGACCGCGTCTACGCCAAAGTCACCACCGCCTCCGAGTACATTCCACAAATGATCCGCGCGATGACGCAATCGTCGATGCGTGTAGGTTTTCGCCGGGGCACATTCAAAAGATCGTCGCGCCTCGGGTGTACATGGTTGTCTTTGACGATGCAACGATCGTCGATGAGATTTACGAGACCGACATCGACACCGATCGACGTCCCGGCGAGATGATGGGCGACGACGCGGCGGACGGGGGTGTAGCACCGATCGACGCTCCCGCCGACGGTATTTGTGTCGGGCGCGCATTTGTCTTCACTCGAAACATAGAATCGACCGAGAGCGAAGTGGTGTTTGTAGCAGCGGTCGCGAATGGCCCGACGTTGGAGCTTCTCAGTCAACTGCAACCGTTCTTGAACGCCACCCGACCACGCGAGCTGTCGTCCCAAGTCAGTTGCACGTCGTCCCAGCTCTACCCGTCCGGCGACTGTACATCAATTATACCCACCGAGAAGCGTCTGACTGGAGTCACGGGACTAGACTCGTCAAGCCTCGAGATGCCCATGGCTGAGATCCTCGTGCTGGACATGGCCAAGAAGCAGGAAGAGCGGCTTCGCCTCGTGCACAACCGGCTCGAAGAGGTCAAGGCGCGCCTCCGGTCGCTGGCTCCCTCCCTCTTAATGTATCCCAACATTCCTTGATCGCGTCGTTGAATGCGCCGTAGGAAGCGCCAGACGCTGGCTAAAGGCGCCGTTGTCATGGTCACGTCGTCGCCGTGCTTTTTTGGGAAGCTTGAGAGCATCCACGCGGAAGCCAACACTTGTGAAATCAGCAGTAGGCCCCTTGGCGCTGCGTCGTTCTCGTCACGACGGTAACAGGTCTGGTGACACCAACGTCCGACGTCCGGACCACTGTCGGACTCCACGAGATCAAGGTCGTGCACGTCGCGAGGGAGCTCGTGGCCCAGCACCAAGAGCTCAGCAAGCAAGTCGACTGTTTCTATCCCGGCGCCCGCGTTCTCTTTGTACTTACGATCATGTTCTTTGAAAGCCTCGTCATTTGGTGGGCTGTAGATGCAGGGAGAGGACGGGCAGCATTTACAAGCTGGTGTGATCATTCGGCGGCTCTCGCCGACCGAGTGTCAACTCCTGCTCGAGAAGACCAAAACCACCGTCGACCACGTGCATATTCATCAGCTCATTGCTGTGACAACGTTTGCCACCGTGAATCCCGCACAGTTTTTGATTGCTAGATCGATCGTAGGGATCAAGACAATACCCCTAACACGCCCCTGGAGCGGCTGCTCAAGGTCGTCGTCGGTGCGCTCGAGTTTACCATTCACGAGCAGGTCTAACGACGTCCATCGACGCGTCCACGTCATCGCTCGTAGGTGACCATCCAAGATTTGGAAGCGGGCACGTCGGTCCACGGCATCATTGCCGAAATCAGCACCTTGCAGACCGTCATCATCGAGTTTGACACTGGCGAAGTCCTACCGGGTGTCCCGACCTCGTGCTTGCGGAAATGTACACGCTGTCCTTCCTCGTTGGCTCGCTCAAACCCATGTTTGATAGACGCCAACCATCACGATGCGAGCCGCGCGTTTCAAGCCAATGGTCTCAGCGCTGCCTTTGGCTTGGACAAAGCACCCGAGTTCCGCGCGCTGGACGAGTGGGTCATCGCCAAGCACCCGCAGAGCAACTTGCCGGAGCGCTGCCGCGTCGTCGGCATCCATAGCCATTCGTACGACCTGCAGTTCGCCGACAGCGTTGTCGCGTCGCGTGTACGTCAGCCATCTTGTCGAAAGTTGGTGCTGACGACGTCAAACGTTGGCAGATCGACACGAGTCTCGTGCTGTCGACGTCGATGACCTCGATCCCGACAAAGCCTCAAGCGTTTGCACTGCACGACCATGTGCTCGCCATGAGCCCGCGCTTTCGCCGGGTCTGCTCCGGTCAAGTCGCCGATGTCCACAGTGCGACGCCAGCAACGTACACGATTGTATTTGACTACGGCGAGACGTACACGGGTGTCCCCCACGACGATGTCCACGTCCTGGAAAACACCTCGGGTAGCGACATCGCCCGAGCCAAACGCCCAACGATCTGATATAAACATCTAGTACTCTCACCTCGGAAACGACTGACCAACTTGTGGCGAAGTGTCAACGGGTACGAACAAGACCAAGACGAGAAAGCGGGTGAATCCAGAGGATTTGATGTCTCTCGGTAGTCTCGACGCGATGGAAGAAATGACAACATCGTACGCGTGTCATGGCGACCTCATGCTGCACAAGATGCTCTGCGCTACGAAAAAGCGAGCGACGAGTCAAGTGCATGCGGGCGACGCCGTCCTCGCGTCGTTCCACCAGTCGCACAAGTATTTTCTCGGGGTCGTTCGAGCACTCCACAACGACGGCGACGACCCGACCGTTGACATTCAGTTCGCATCGACGCTCGACGTTTCCAACGTGCCGTTGCGCAAGGTAAAATGGTGTCCTGATAGTGTTCATCCCACTACGGTGTGTAGGTGTTTGCCGTCGGCCTGTCGATGCCCCACGCCTACGCATCCGGCGCGAACGCAAGCGCTAAAGGTTGAATGACTCTTCTCGTCGAACGGCATTCATCCTGCAGGCATAGCACCAAACGAGTCAGATTTGATGGACCGGCGACTCATGGCCGCGCTGTTTACGACCACGTCGTCGCGCCGTGAAGGCGCACCGGTGTCACCGCCCCCGCGCCGACCGGCGCCGACGTTCTTTGGCCGCGTGTGCGCCTTTCTAAGAGGCCCGTGGGGACTTGGTAAAAAATAATGCTGTGGCCAAAATCCAGTATGGTATCCAGTGTGGGTGTTGTCCGCACGACCGAACAGTTGTTGTCGACAGCTTTGGTCGACTTGAACGTTTGTTGGACCGAGTGCTTTGAATTTGGGAGTGTCATTGTCATATTGTACACAACTACGGTGTATGTCGTCCACCTGTGATTCATCTGGTCGCCAGCGCTGCTGCAGTGATCCAGGGTGCAAGCTGGGAAACTGGGTGTGGTGTCAGTAGGGTAGTTTCGGATGGGCCGTCAATTTGCGCGTCTGTCGTTGCATCCGCCGACGGTTCGGACGGCGTCGTCTGACTTCGAAACGCCAGTGGTCCCCTCCACGCCCAATTTAGGTGCAACGGCGAGCAAGTTTAGCATCAGGAGCATGGACACCGTGCCAAAAGACGGGACGCACCGGCACCAGAGTGTGCCGGCTCTCAGCTCGTCCAAGAGCAGTCACCAGTCGTCGAAGGAGAGTCTTCGGTCGTCGACCCGCCAGTCGTTTGCCAACACACGCAAGCCGTCGTCGGTGCTCCCCAAAATCTACTTTGGCGCGCGCCAGCCGTCGCCGCGGGGCAGTCTCTCGGCGACCGTACTCTCGAGCAGTCGATGCTCGAAACGGTGGCTGAGTCGTCTCACTGCTGTAGGACGAAGAGAAGGGGCTGCGCCGGCTCATGTCGGGCTTGCTCGCGCTGCCGACGACCACCCACCGGTTTCCACGGGGCACTCATGTGGCGTTCGTTATCGAGTACGTTATAACCCTCCCACACCCGGAGACTGAAAGCAACCAATTGACGGTGGGGTGTGCTAGCGATACCCGCCGAGGCACGGTCGCCGGGCATCCCGCGTCCGATCGGTACACCGTCGTCCTCGATGACGCCGACGTCGTCGACGACGTGGCCGAAACCGATCTCGTCGAATGCATTTTGCCACAAGACAAGGAGAACCCGACGTGTACACATGTCGATGCTCCAAGCACGGTGGCACTGTGAATATTGCATAGTTGACGCCGACGACGGCGTCGAATTCACCACGTGGTGGCTCCCTCGCATCACCACGTACCTGGTGACGCGGCCAACGTCCTCGACCCGTGGCACCACGATCGTCGCGATCGAGCCGCCGGCCACCTCGAGTACCGTCCATTTGCTACGATGTGGCGGTGACATCTCGCGTAGCCCCGCCTGTTTCAAATGACCTGCTTTCCCATGTTGAGAAGCTAAAAGCCCATGTCCTCGGCCGCTTGTACATCGCTCGCTCCCTCAGTGCACCTGGCCATGCAATCGCGTAGGGAAGGAGATACGCCGCCGATCGAGATCGCCGTCGGCGCCCACGTTCTCGTCCGGGGTCCACCAGCGTACTTTGGCTGCATTCAAGTCGTGTACGCCGGTGGTACTCTCCTCGATGTGCTCGGTACTACCCGTCGATGCACGGTATTTTGAGGCGAAGCGTACCGGTACTAGACGGCCAGCACCACTTGCACCACCAAGTACCCAGCCGCCTTGTTGAAATCATCAGTATCGACACGCAACTGCAAGAGCATTGTACGCAGCTGACGGCCATGGTACTGCGGTCACGCTTCGCATAGAATGTCAACGGTTGTGACTAGGTGGAGAATCCGGTGGTGACGCCATACCAGTAGCAACAATGACATTACGATGACATGAACTAGTGTCTTATGCGTTGCCTAGGTGGCCGTTTGTGACGTCTCGGACGCAAACAGACGATCCGGGGGCGTCGTTCACGCTGCACGCACGGGTCCGTAACCCGCAGCGCATTCAACATTCATCCGGCTCGCCATTAGGTGCAACTGCGGGCAACCAAGACGTTAGGGCTTATCGTGGCCATCAACTCCAACGCGACAGTCGCCGTCGAGCTCGAGACGGGCTTCACGGACGGCTGCGTGCACTGTGATGAGCTCGACACGGGTTCGATTCCATCCCGGAATACGCTTTGCGCGAAATAGCGTGTAGTGACCGACGACCCGACGGAAGCGTATATAACAACGTCGAGCATCGCCAAGGCGTTCAATCTCTCCAACTCCTCGTCGGTACACGCCTCGACGCACGAGAGCGGCTGGTTGTCGCTGCCGCCTCTGCTCTCGGTACCCACCAAGATGGTCTCATTCTGGACGGACACACGTGGTGTAGGCCCGGCGCGGCAGCCAGACGCGCATCAAGACGGACTTTGAGGCGCACGATTTGGTCTTGGCCTTTTGTCCGCGATGGCTGCAGTACTGCGTCGGCACGGTCCTCGAGCGAACCAAGGCTGGAGTCACGGTGGTTTTTGATTATGGCGAGATCTACGCCGAGATTCCGCTGACCAAAATTGTCGACGTGCTCTACACCAAAGGTGCTTATATGCACGGAAAAAGGGTCGTCTAGTAACTCATTTGGAGGTCTAGTCATCTGCGACAGTCGTGGCAACCGATTGGCGCCAACGTGGAACTACTCGCACGGGTACCGTCCAAGACTAATGGTATCGACTAGACGACTAGAGGAAAACTAGGTGGGAGGGCGCCCTCGACACGTCTGTGGCCTGCAAAGGAGATCCGCTGCTTCATCAAATGCTCTGCGTGCCTGCGCAAGTGCAACATTGGAACAGCCAGTTTCACGTTGGCGACGTGGTCCTCGCGCGCTACTGGGGCGCGTCCATGTACTACCGGGGCATCCTCGTCAAGATCCTTGAAGACCTTAGCGTCAACGTCATGTTCGAGTCGGGGCACCTTCAGCGCAACGTCCCCTGCAGCCACGTACGTCGCTGCGTCGAAGGTGTGGACGACATTCGACTATTTATGTAGCTTCTGTCGACGTCCAAAGAACCTGTCAAAGTGATGGAGAAGCCGTCACCAAAGCCAGGTACGCTCGTCATGACAAATACTGAAAACCCTCGATCCTTGGAACTAGCACCGGGCCCGACGTCTGGGGCGTTGCCAGAGCCCAAGCGCAAGCCACAGCCGCCGCGACACCACCCAAAGCGAACCATTCTGCGACGAATAACCCACTTGCTCGGGTTCCAGTAAAATGAAATGTGGTTTTGTCGTTATTGTCACTAGTTGATGGTGGGTCGTCTTGGCGTTTCAAAATGAGGGTAGGGTAAATGAGAGACCAATGGGCAGTCGGTGGACTAGAATGGGACGCTGACCGGCAGAGCAAGCCACCCGTGCATGAAGCTCAAAGGAGAAGCAGAAGCACGCGGCTACTCTAGTCCCGTTGTTGAACCAGCCGACGCCCAGTGTAGGCGTTCATGCAGGATGTATACACGGGTTCTTTTGCAGCCGAAGAAGCGACGACTATGCGAAGAGAGTAGTGCTCTAAAAGACGATATAAATGACAATTAAGAAAGGAGAATTGGGCAAAGAAACAAGACCAAGGCACGGACCTCGAGGCCAAACTCGCGACGCTCGGCGCTCGACTCTAGCGCCATGAGTTTGTTCCCAAGGCCTGCAATCGTCGCTTGTCGTTGCTGGTCGCACCACGTATCGTGCCAACGAGCGCTTCGTGGCACCGGCGTCGGTACCAGTTCGGGAACGGTGCATCTCGTCGCATCAAAGGACGCGCAAGGTATACATCAATGCCAACAATGCACGCGGAACCAGGTGTCACAATGACGTCAACACGAATGAAACCACTCTGTCAACGTCTCTTTGTTACGGTTGACGACGGCCATCTGCCTTAGAAGAGCCCAATGATCTTGCCAGACGTCGTATCAACGTCAATGTCATAAAAGCCCGGGCGCGTCGGGAGCCCCGGCACCGTCATGATGTCGCCGCAGAGCAGATAGAGGAACCCAGCGCCCACCGACGCGCGAATATCGCGGATCGTGACCGAAAACCTACAGATTCTCTGAATTGCAGCTAATATGAAGCCAAATTTCGTGGCATACCCGGTCGGCACGTTCTTCTTGGTCGGGTCCGTGCTAAAGCTGAGGTGCGTCTTGGCCATACAGATGGGGAAGTGGCTATAGCCGCACTTGGTAAACACCTCGAGCTTGGCCTTGGCGAGGTCCGAGAAGATGACGTCGTCGGCGCCATAGATCTTTTGGCATACGGCGCGCGCCTTCTCCTCGATCGAGGCTTCGAGTGGGTACAAAAACTTAAAGTTGTTGGTGGGCGACGCGCAGGCCTTGACGACGGCCTCGGCGAGCTCGACCGCCCCCCGCCCCCCGAGGGCCCTACAATATTCGCTTTATTAGCAAATGCCGTTGCCGGGATCGAACTGTGTACCAGTGGTTGCACTCGACGGCGGCGAGCGCACCGGCCTCGACGGCCTTGGCGCACACGATTGCGATTTCTTTGTCCGAGTCGGTCGCGAACCGGTTGACCGACACGACGACCGAGACACCAAACTTGCGCTACATCCATAGTTTAGTCAAAAACGACTAGAGACAATATATCGTACTGCGTTGCGGATGTGCTGCATCATGTTGTCGCAGCCGGCAGTGACAAGCGCAAGGTTTTCATCGACGTACACCGCGTCCAACTAGAAAGTCAAGCATAAATCATCATAAAATCCAAAATGAAAATGAAAATGAAAATGAAAAATGACGTACCGGCTTGCCGGCCGTGACCGTGGGGCCGCCACCGTGCATCTTGAGCGCCCGCACGGTCGCGACAAGCACGACGCACTGCGGGCGCAGGCCCGAGTAGCGGCACTTGATGTCAAAGAACTTTTCCATGCCAATATCCGCGCCAAACCCGGCTTCGGTGACGACGACGCCGTCACGCCCCACGAGCTTGAGCGCGATCTGGTCGGCAATGATCGACGAGTTGCCGTGGGCAATGTTGGCGAACGGCCCGGCGTGCACGAGCACCGGCGTCTGCTCCACCGTTTGCATGAGGGTCCTACGCCAACATCAAGCACCCGCAAACAACGCAGCTCCGTACGGCATGATGGCGTCCTTCATGAGCGCGGTGAGCGCACCACCGACACCGAGGTCGTCGGCCGTGACCGGGTCGCCCTTGCGACTCATGCCCACCACCTAATAATGTCAACGATTCAACGTCATCTTCCTTTCGAAGCAATCGTGCAGAGGGTCTACCATGCGGCCGAGACGCTCGCGCATGTCATCGAGGCTCGTGGCCAGCGCCAAGACCGCCATGATCTCGCTCGCAACCTGTATAATATTGTCATCGCAAGATAGCTAGGACAGCGACTAAAGTACCGTAATGTCAAAGCCGGTTTCGCGTTCATGGCCCTTCTCAGTCGGCGCTTTCCCGATCGTGATGCCACGGAGGAAGCGGTCGCAGGTATCCAACACGCGATTCCTACAAAGTTTGTTGATATCTGCACCGCTAGGAGGGCAGGAGCGTCTACCACGTAAGCGTCGCGGGGTCAATGTCGAGGCGGGCAAAGCGACTGATCTCGTCGTCCGTGAGCTCGGACGGGTTGGTCTTGGTGATCCCGAGCTTGCGAAGGCGGCGCAGCATCACGGGCGCAAAGACGCGGGACCCGTCCTTCTTGGCCGGGCAGAGACGGTTGAAGAGCGCCTACGACATGGCATGTTGTGAGCATCTGGGCCCGCGGCGACGGCGAGCGACCTTGTCCTTCTGCGTCGACTCGTGGAACATGCGCGCGTCAATGGCCGCCGACAGCTACCGTCGGCGTATGAGTCTCCGGCGCGTAGGTCTCGACGTACGAGGTTGTTGGCCGCCGTGATCGCGTGGATGTCGCCCGTCATGTGCCTACAGACGCCGCGTCGGTCCAAGTGTCGAGGAGCAGTCGACGTACAAGTTGAACTCGTCCATGGGCACGACTTGGGCGTAGCCACCGCCAGCGGCGCCACCCTACACGCCCATCGATGAGCACGCTCCCGGGATGTAGGCGCACCTTGATGCCGAAGGTCGGGCCTTGCGACGGCTACGCGACCAACGCCGTCAGCAACAGTCAAGCTATGAGGTTAGCGGTACCTGGCGAATGCACGCAAACGACTTCTTCTTCAGGTGCGCGCCGAGCGCCTGGGCGAGGCTACATGCTGTTGGACGTGGTTGTCATGGCCGAGGGACGTACCCAATCGTGGTCGTGCTCTTGCCCTCGCCGAGCGGCGTCGGCGTGATGCCCGTGACGACGACATAGGCGCCGTGCTCGACGTGGCTCAGGCGGTCGCGCACCGCGAGAGCTACCTTGGCCTTGGTCTTGCCGTAGAAGTAGATTTCATCTTCGAGCTATTCGAGCCGGTAAGACGTGAAGAAGAAGAGGGCAGCGTACGAGGCCGGCGGCCGTCGCAATCTCCCGGATGTGGACGGGCGTCGTCGCATCGCTGATCTCAATGTCGCTCGGGACCGGCGTCTTGAGCTGGGCTGGCGTCAGTGCACTCATTTGGGACTTTAGCAAAATGATTGTTGAGATGGCCTTTCTGCCGATATTTTTAAATACACAAGTGCAACCTGCATACAAACACCAAGTATTTAAATTTCAAAACGATTAAAATATGACTCCGGATCGGCTCCTGGCACGTGCTGCAGCGCCATCTGGCGCCGACGGGCGGACGTCCGCGGACCCGATCAGCCCCACGCCAAGGGTCTCGTGTGAGCAACAAAGCGCTGGCGGCTACGGACAGAGCGCCCGGTAGACGCATGGCAGCTGGAATAGTGATCATCCTGGGCTATGATGCTATGTTGCCGACCGACGCGCAGTCGATGCCGCATCCTTGGTTTACCAAACGGCGAAGCCAGCGAAAGGCCGGCCATGTCTTTCTACCTGCCGTGTCTTGGCAATGAAGCGATCTAACTAGATAAGACGATGGAACGGGATGGAAGCGCAGCGCTACTCGTGTCGTGGACCTCGTTGTTTGGCTCTCAGGTGTCGAGCGCCACCATGGCGACGACGTGTACTACACTAACGTTAGGATAGCCTTGGGCCGCTTGACGGGTGATGGAGTGGGGCTGGGATGATAGCGAGCGCGGCAGCAGCCTCGTGAATGTAGTCATTGATGTCGCTGGATGGACGTTGATTCGCTTTGGTTGGCAGCGAGGGACCGTACCCCGAACCTTCTTTTGTTATAAGCACGACGATACACTGCGCAGCTCAATGTGCTACGTCAACGAGCGCCTTCGGGTACGTCAGCAGAGCGCAGGGTCGACGGTACCTCGGCCACAGCAATCTTCGCCGCGCAAACGTGGCGTGATCTGGGGCCGACGATAGTTTCAATCTTTCAAAATAGGCTCGATAACACACGGGTGTAGCTAGTAGACGCAAGTCTGTCGTTGAGACTAGATTGGCATCCGAGGTGAAGACACTCGTGGTGATTGCTTGTTGTGAGGCCATCAGCACTCGCAGCGCACTGTGCAGCGCTGGTTTGCCCTATTTCGGTTATAGTCGTCGGCGACTACGGTTTGTGCCTGACGCGACGGTCTACACATCGTCGTCCATTGATCCTGCGCCTGGTATCGCGCCCGCCAGCTCAGTGGCAAGCAACGGCCTGTGGGACTGCCAGCTCATACACTGGCACCTTGTATGATCCAAAATCCGGATACGCGTTGCCGTCCACGCCGATCTTTGTCCGGATACGAGAAGTGGCACGGCCATGGGCATCATCTGGTCCCGAGCATGCTGCGGTGCAGACCAAGCCGACGACTGGCAGCGCCATGGCCGCTCGCCCGCGCCTTCTGCAGCGCCGCGCCGCCACGTGACGGCTGCCTCGTCGCTTCGCAGAAGGTCGGCCACAAGCAGCTCGACTTTATCGCGCTCGGTGATGCCAAGCAGCTCCACCTGCAGTTGCCGCCGCCGGGCTCGCCGACCACGGACGTCCTTCGCCGCGCGCAGCAGCTTCCGCACTACCTCGAAGACCTCTTTTTGCCGCGCGACTACAAAACGTCGACGACGCACGACTATTTGCCATACGCCAAGTGGCAGTTTGTCGGCAGCGTCGCTGGCACGGCGTGCGGCGTGCTCTCGATGCAGTCACTGCTGTACGCGATCGGGCTCCAAAGTGGCGCGATCCCGATGGCCGCGGCCTTGAACTGGGTACGTCCTCGACCGTATGTGCATTATAGAAGGCAACGCGCATGGCTAGGTCATCAAGGACGGCCTCGGGCAATTCGGCGGTGTCCTTTTCGCGAGTCTGGTCAACCACCGCTTCGACTCGGACCCCAAGGTACGTAGTGCATTGCAAGAACAGTCAGCTGCAATCAACGACCCTGTACGTAGCGCTGGCGCGTCGTCTCGGCGCTTGCCATGGATGCTGCGACGCTCACTGAGATCCTCACGCCACTCTGCCCCGCCTACTTTTTGCCGATGGCAGCCATGGCCAATGTACGTCGTCGTCCCATGCGTTTACCTAAGGAATGCGCTTCATAGGTCGCCAAGAACATCTCGTGGCTCTCGGCCAGCGCGACCCGCGCCGGCTTTCACTACTCGTTCGCCAAGACCGAGAACCTCGCCGACATCACCGCCAAGGCCGGGTCGCAATCGATCGCGTCTTCGATCCTCGGTGCGTCACGCTTTTTCGAGCATTTTCAAACAGCTCACGTAGGCACGGCGCTTGGCATTGCGATCTCGCCCATCATCGGTACGACCACGTCGCACGTGGCCGGCGCCTTCTTTGTGCTCTCGTCCATCAACCTCTGGTCGCTCTACAACAGCCTCCGCGTCGTCTCCCTACGCACCCTCAACCAGCAGGTACCCCATCATCTCAATATTATCTCAAAACCATATCAAAACCATCTCAAAAGCATCTCAAACTTCATTGTTGTAGCGGTTGAACCACATCCTCGATGCGTTCATTGCGAATGCAGCGATCCCGACGCCGGACGTTGTGAGCCAGCAGGAGCGGTTCGTCTCCAACTTGCTCTCGGGCAAGGCGTGCCATCTGCAGCACTCGCATCTCGACGTGGCGTCCCGCCTCGACGCCGTGTACACGCCGTCGACGGTCATTTGGCCAGGCGAGAAGTACCTCTTGCACGTCGACGTCGATGCGACGACGTCCCATGCGACCGTCCACTTGCTCATGGAGGCGTCGGCGACCTCGGACGAGGTGTTGGCCGCGCACCTCCACGCCCGGCTCTTCCAGAATTTGTACGAAGCGACGCCCGGCGCTCATACGACACCAATGCTCCACGCCAGCTACGCGACAGCGTCGGCGCAGCGCCGCTCCTATCTCGACGCCATGAACGCAAGCGCGTGGCACTGCGAGAACCTCTTGGTCGAAGAGACACCGGCGCGGTATACCTTGCACAACTAACATCTCACTTATGCAACATCGAAAGTCGGGTTGATGGTTAGCTTAGTAATTTGGCTTAACAGGACACAGTCGTTGTCCATGGAGCGATCAGTGTCATCGTGTAGCCACCGTGGCCACAGAGCACGAGGTACCCGAGTGCTTCAAGGGACTTCAACATACAGGCTCTGCCACGTTCGTATCGCATCTGAATGGAGAAGGAGGAGTGCAGCACCTGCCCGGTACCTCCAGCGGGCTCTCTTGTCGAAGGTTCCTCTTCGTCGCTGTAGCAGGAACACCGAGGGCCGTCGTCGCCACAGTGGATGACCCGACGCAGTGTTGTGTGGTGGTATACAATGGCACCAGAAATGGCCCAAATATTGGCCCAACCGGATGATCATGCTTGGTCGCCGTCGCGCACGTCGTTGCGGCAACTGCCACCGACGGACGCAGCCAACGGCAACTGCCACCGACGCACGCAGCCAAGCGCAACTGCCACTCCGATCGGTTTGAAGTCGACTCGACTTTGTTTCGCTCTTATGTTGGGAGTCTGGCTCGTCTCGAGCTCTGGCGAGATCTGGGCGGTGCCTTTCTGGTCCAAGCACGGCAACGGTACGTTGCCATCGGCGTCGTGGTCAGCGGGAGCCTGCCAACGGTCGTTCTTCCCAGGTGCAGTACTACGATGATGCGGCAGATCAGGTGGGCGACAGGCCATCGAAGCATCGTCGCCCGGCTTGCTGGGAGAAGCACGCGTGGTCTGTCCCACTACGGTGGTCGATTGAAGAACCAGGTGCATGCGGTCGCCGACGCTGGCGCCATGCTGTGGATGGGGTAGCTACTCGCTTTGGCACCCATGGCCATGAGATTGCACTTCGACTTTGCCGTTGGATGCAGCTGCCACAGACGAATCTGAAATCGAATCTCAACACAAATCGAGTAAATGAGGAGGGTCTGAATTCATAGATAGACAAAACACATAAAAACGATGGCCGACCCGCTTATTCCGAGGCCACGGGCGAGGCCGGCGACGCGTTCTCGCTGTTGTTGTGCACGTCCTTGGCGTACTGGATCTTCTCCTGGAGGTACGCGACCGAGGACGAGACCATGTCCGTGCCCTTCTGGATCGCGCGCGCACCGAGGCCGCCCGTGACCTTGGCGTCCACGTCAAAGGCCTTCTGCGTGACCTGGTACTGGTCGTCGAGCTCCTTGGCCTTCTCGGTCGCGAGCTGCACCTTTTCGTGGAGCGTGGCCGAGAGGTTGTAGTACTGGTCGTAGGCCTCGACCGTCTGCACCACGCCGCCGGCGTAGGCAATGGCCGACTGGCTCACGCCGGCCGCCTTGGCGCTGAGCTGCACCTGGAGCTCGTGCGCGTGCTCGCTGGCCGTGTGGATGGCGTCCGTCGTGCGCTGGCGCGTGGCGAGCGTCAAGTTTTCGACGCCCGTCTTGGCCTCGCCGACCGCCGTCTTGAACTTGGCGTCGTACACCGCGGCCTGGTCCTTGATGGTCGCGAGCGAGTCCGTGACCTGGACGAGCGCCGTCTGCACGAGCGACACGGGCTTCTGCGCGGCCGACAAGGTCGTCGAGCGCAGCGTCTCGGCCGACTTCTTGAGCTCGTCAACGGCGTGGTTGGCCGACTCGATCGCGGTCTGGAGGTAGCCCGTGGCCGTCTCGCTCACCTTGTACTCGGCGTCGTAGGCCATGAGCTGCTTCTTGAGGTTCTCGAGGTACGTCTGCGTCTCCTGGATACCGCCCTCGACCGACGTCTGGAGCGACGCAAGGTGCTGCTGGGCTTCGGGCTGCTCGACGGTCATCGTAGTAGTTCTTAGTCGAATGGAAATGGGGAAATGGAAACATGAGCCGCGGCTGGCTTGGCTCAACGACCAACATTGCCGTTGGCCATTTTATCCAATCAAAGCGTGCCACAGCGTGATCGACCAATCCCCATTCACTTTCTACTTTTCCGCCACTCCCAAGCAAGGTTGACAAATGACGCGGTGACGTCACGAGGTCCACTGCACGCTGTTGACGCAGCACTGCGACACACAACTAAGTATACAAAGGCGCCATGGGAGCGTGGGACACGGCGCCCGTTCACGTGACATTCGCTTAATCAGTACACGCCTCGTCGCTCATCTGTGCACCGGCAAGAACGCGCGAACATCGGTGCCCCGATGCACCCGTTGCAGCAACGACGACAACGACAACGACGCGACGTATTGTTTTACTCAACGTCGCCTTTGCAGCCATCGTCGACGCAGTTGCCACGACACGAGCTCGCCGGCGTAGAAGGTTGGTCGCACGATAACGCCATTCTCTTAACGGCTGCTGCTTGGGGCAACGGACACCGGTTTAGTTGGCGGTTTGAGGCGAGAATACTGTACATGATCCAATGCTACAAGTACTGTAGATACGCTAGTCAGCGTTTGTAGACTGCGGGGTTTTGTGTTTGGGTGGAGATTGCACGCTGCGAGCGTGCCAAAGCGCGCACTTTTTTGTACGGGAGGAAGACGATTCGAGGCCGCAGGTGGCGTCGAAGAAGCTTGGTTCGTTGCGCGTCCTTGTCCTGGGGTGGGTAGCGTTGAAGTGCCAAAGCGACGGACACCGAGGCTACTTGTTTAGGCGAATTGAAACGTGCGCGCGCTAAATTGAAAGCATGACGCACCATAACATGCGACGCGTCATGCCGAATCTTAGAAATTGTCCGCAGCGTGCCGACCGCCGTCGATACATGCGTCTATACAGAGCGTCCACGCTACAGTAATATGCGTCGGCGGGTGCGAATCACACGGTTGTGGGCTGATTGCCCGCAACTTTCTGGTCCGCCTACGAAATCCCCGCGTTCCGTCACCCCGTGACGAGGTGCCTCTGTGAGAAACCATTGGCGCCAGGCCCCGCCGACACCGTGCACGACCGCCTACTTGCCGAGGTGAGCGGCCATGCGAGCCAAAGAACGCAAAGAACGTTCTTGCATGTTCGCATAAAAAGCGCATCATAAATCAGAACGGCAAACTGGGACAAACCTAGGTTTTGCCCATGACGTGGCACCTCCTGCGGCGTGTTCTTCGTATCTCCCACGCCGAGCAAGCAACGGGCCCTGTTTCTTTGCGGGATGTCGCGATAGCGAAAGCAAGGCGTGAAGCACGCAGCGTCGTCGTCCTGAACCGTCGTCGCCGTGAGAAAAGCCACGTACACTGGCTATACTGGCGTTGACGCAGCGAAACGTGCGCGACACGACGCCACTGGACCGACAAGCCTGTTTTGATCTGTCAATTGCGCCGCACGCATCGACGCGTGTGGGAAGGCCTTGTCTCGAGCTGTCTACTGGGTGCTGTGCAGTGTTTGCGTCTACCTCCCGGCCGATCCCTCGCTGATCAAGCAAGGTAGTGGATATGGCGCGGCTACTGACAGATGGATGGGTCGGCGTCGCGCAATTGTAGCGACCGGGACCGGACCGGGTGCGCGTCCGGGTTGCATAAACACCGCCTGTCCGGTCCGGAAGGGTTGTGTAATCGTGTGTTGTGCTATTCGCATCGGCTTGATCGCTCCCGCTTGCGTTTTGCTGGCTCGGTCATTTCCGGGGCATCCTCCACTCGACTCGCGCCAACTGCGTTGAAGTGCTCGTTTCTACCGCACCAGAATCTGATTGAAGCGCATCAGAAGTAAGGCCTTTGACTATCTGGTTAGGACCTGGTCCCTGGACGGTCCACACATCGACGCGCTGTCTTCTCTACGTCGTTCCAAAATCTGCTGCCGCCGACGGGGCCTTCGCACGTGTCGTCATCGTCTCGGATGCCGTTGGAGCATACCGTCAACGCCCGCGATCCTACGCGCCCGACACTTTCAAATGGATGGTTCGACGTCGTCGCCGTGTCCTTACAACGACGCTAGAGCCACGCAGCCGGTGACCGTAAACGCTGGAGAAACGACGGTTTGGGCGCTACGCCGCCGCGCAACTGGTCGCGGACAAAGCTCTTTTCTTCGCAAAGCAAGTGGTTGGTCCACGCGTCCCGGAGCTTGTCGCGCTCGGCGTCGTCGACTCCGCAGGCGACCGGCGTGTGAAAGCAAAACCGGTTCCAATTCTGCAAATGGAGGCACCAGAGGTCCATAAACGCCTTGGAGCTCGCAAGACACAGGAGCGGCGCCGCGTCGCCGTCCATCGTCAGCCGAAAGAGATGTAAATGGGGCATCGCAACCAGCTGGAGGCGGCGCTGTGAGAGGGAGATGGACCGCACGTGGGCCTTGGACGGCGGTGGGGTGTACAGCGACAGAGTGCCCTCAGTGAGCACGAGGTACCGAATGTTGGCTGCCTTTGTGATCGAGTACGGATCGTCAAAGACCAGCAGGTAGCCTTCCATGGCTTCGAAATGGAATTGAAATTGCAGTGAGACGCGTGCGATCGTCATCCAGAATTGGCTAAGTATAGCGCCACTAGCACTTGGGGAGTTGGGATCATGATGGCGCCGCCAACGGCAGCCAT